CACAACCTGTCTTTCAGAATTCCTCATAGGTGTTCAATTAGGTTCAGATCAGGAGACATACTTGACCATTGAATCACTTTCACCCTGTTCTTCAGAAATGCAACAGCGGCCTTAAATGTGTGTTTTGGATCATTGTCGTGTTGGAAAAGATGACAAAGGGCACGGAATGATGGTAGCGTCTTCTCTTTCAATGTAGAGCAATACATCTGTGAATTCATGATACCATCAATGAAATGCAGCTCCCCGACACTAGCAACATTTATGCAGCCCCACAGAAGGACACTGCCACCACCATGTTTCACTGTAGGCACCATGCATTTTTTTTATACTCCTCACTTTTGCCAAGCCATACAGTTTTGAAGCAATCAGTTCCAAAAACATTTATCTTGGTGTTGTCACTCCAGAGTACAGAGTCCCAGTAGTCTTCTTCTTTTTCAGCATGGGCCCTGTCATGTTCTATGCTGGCTTTTTTGTGCATGGGCTTTAGGAGAGGCTTTCTTCGTGGATGACATCCATGCATGCCATTTCTCTGCAATGTACTCTGTATTGTGTCACGGGAAACAATCACCTCAGTTTGGATTTCTACTTCTTTAGCTAACTTAAGTGAACTTGCATGGTGATTTTCTTCAACCCTTCTCATTAGAAGATGCTCCTATCGAGGTGTTAACTTCCATGGATGGCCTGGATGTCTCTGTGAGATGGTTGCAGTTCAATCTTTGTTAAATCTTTGTTTCACTTTTGCTACAGTATTCTGACTGATAAGTAAAGCTTTGCTGATCTACTTGTAGCCTTCACCTTTCTTGTGTAAATACATTATTTTCTTTCTCAGGCCTTGCAACATTTTTCTTCCATGTGGTGCCATTGCTTATAACATGAAATGGGAAGGGATTTTCTTTGTTAAGTACACTGGTGGCCAAAATTGTGGATACACCTTACATTTTTACAAACTTTTTCAGTTTAAAGTACTTTTTATATAAAAATCTCTAAAAATGTCATAGCACAAGTAAAAGTTATTATAGTAAATGGATGCCTTAACAAAAAAATCTTTAAATAAGTTCAATTTTGGCTGGAAATGTACCATAATGCATCTTGGCTATTATTTAGAATAAAAATTATAATTTCAAGTTTGTCACAATGTGTTTTTTCAATAATGTGTTGGATAGCTTTTGGCCTTAACTACTGCCTGACACCTTCTAGGCCAGCGTTTTTCAACCACTGTGCCGTGGCACACTAGTGTGCCGTGAGATATTGTCTGGTGTGCCGTGGGAAAAATTGCAATTTCATCCGTAACATGTGGCCTCGGCTCACAAATAGACCAATCATTAGAACAGCAATGGGCAAACTACGGCCCGCGGGCCGTATACGGCCCGGCGGACCTTTTAATCCGGCCCGCGGAGCGTGATACTGTCAGGATGATCTGTCCCCCTCGACGTATCTGCGCATGTGCCGGAGATCGCCGATCGGCTGCTAATGCCTGAAACTGGCACATGCGCAGATACATCGAGGGGGACAGATCCTCATAGGAGACAGATTTTCATGCTACACCGGAATGGTGAGAGGAACGCGCGGAGCAAAGGTAAGTGAATTGACACAGGGGGGGCTTGGGGACTTAATATGGGGGATGAATTAATATGGGGGATGAATTACTATGGGGGATGAATTACTATGGGGGATGAATTACTATATGGGGGATGAATTACTATGGGGGATGAATTACTATGGGGGATGAATTACTATAGGGGGGATGAATTACTATGGGGGATGAATTACTATATGGGGGATTAATTACTATATGGGGGATTAATTACTATAGGGGGGATGAATTACTATGGGGGATGAATTACTATATGGGGGATGAATTACTATAGGGGGGATGAATTACTATATGGGGGGTGAATTACTATGGGGGATGAATTACTATGGGGGATGAATTACTATGGGGGATTAATTACTATATGGGGGATGAATTACTATGGGGGATGAATTACTATGGGGGTGAATTACTATATGGGGGATGAATTACTATGGGGGATGAATTACTATAGGGGGATGAATTACTATGGGGGATGAATTACTATATGGGGGATTAATTACTATGGGGGATGAATTACTATGGGGGATGAATTATTATATGGGGGATGAATTACTATGGGGGATGAATTACTATGGGGGGATGAATTACTATATGGGGGATGAATTACTATGGGGGATGAATTACTATATGGGGGATTAATTACTATGGGGGTGAATTACTATGGGGGATGAATTACTATATGGGGGATTAATTACTATGGGGGATGAATTACTATGGGGGATGAATTACTATATGGGGGATGAATTACTATAATGAATTACTATGGGGGATGAATTACTATATGGGGGATTAATTACTATGCTTACTATGGGGGAATATTACTATACTTACTATGGATGACACATACACATCATTCATCTACTCTTGGTCCGGCCCCCGGGTCCAATTATAAAATACTTTATTATTTCATAATAAAGTAATTATAAAATAATTTCTTTGTGTTTGATTCCTATTCAAGAGAATTACTTTATATATAGTCAATATAGGCACAGAGGTAAATTTTTTCTTTGCACAACCTTTGCACAAAAAAGGTTGAAAAACACTGTTCTAGGCATTGACTCTACGGGGTTTATTTACTAAAGCTGGAGAGTCCAAAATCAGACTCCCTTCTGCATAGAAACCAATCAGCTTCCAGGTTTCATTGCCAAAGCTTCATTGAACAAACTGAGGTTAGAAGCTGATTGGTTTCTATGCAGAAGGGAGTCTGATTTTGGACTCTCCAGCTTTAGTAAATAAACCCCTACAAGTCTTTTGACATCCTCTTCTGTGATCAAATGATGCCAGGAATTGATTATAGCCTCAATGAGTCCTCGCTTGTTGCTTGGATTCTTGCACGAGACCATGCGTTTCAATCTTGATCACAGATTTTCGATGGGATTCAAGTCAGGGCTATTTCCAGACCAGGGAAGCAGAGGAATTTTCTTGTCATTGAACCATTTAAGGCATTTAAGAACTGTATGGCATGCAGCTCCATCCTATTGAAAAGTAAATTCTGTGCCTTTGTCCGCTAAGTCGCTTATTGATGGGGTCGACTTTGGTTCCAGGACCTCTTTGATGTATCGCTCTGCATTAATAATGCCATCAATAACCTACATTCGTCCAACACCATACCAAGACATGCAGCTCCATATCATGATGCTTTGAGGGTGTTTCATGTCATGCACTCAGGAAGGCACTCTTCGCCTGACCTTCTTCGCACGTATCGAACACCATCGCTTCCAAAAATAGAAATTCGTGTTTTATCACTCCAAATAATTTTTTCACAATCTTCTGTTATCCAATTTTGATGTTTTTTGGCCCATTCAACTCTTTTCTTTCTTTGGTGGTAGTTCAAAAATTTTTTTTTTTCTTGGTATTCGAGCTCTTAATCCAGCAGCAAAAAGTCGACTTCTTACTATTCGGTCAGACACTGACAGTCCTCCATCTCACAACACCTTGTTGATATCCTTGGCAGAGGATTTTCTATTCTGCAAAGCAAGTCTTGCAATTTGTCTCTCAGTTTTGGGTGTTGTAGCTTTTTTTCCTTCCTCTGCCTTGCTGTGTTTAGATACTTCTGGTGTTCGAAAATCGTGCACACAGCTTCTGGACTCTGGATGCAGAAACTCCTTGACCCATTTTCCTGGCAATTTTGCAAAAAAAAAAAAAAATAACCTTCATTTCTTAATGTTATTGCTGTTGCTCTTTTCTATGGTGACAAGTCTGACCTTATAATTGATGGCATCATTCATTTCTACAAATATAGTTATTTAAATACATTTTAGGTCAAAACAGCACAATATTATTTTAATTTATTTAACTATTCTAATATAATTAAAAAAATGCATAAAATGAAAAATAGTTTCCTAAGCTCTATATAAAATTGCAGGCATTGCAACTAGAATCTCTGTTATGCAACATAATGCTTTATTCTGACCAAATACTATAACATCTACACAATAATATACAAACGAAAATTGGCAACATTTCCTCACATTCTCACCAGCTAGCTTTCTGTTGATAATGTTCAGTAAATCTCAAATTAACTCAAAACTTGTATCATATGTTGTCAAAAATATTTTGTCTACCGTTTGCATAGAATAGCTAATGTCTAGAAGGAAAAAACCAGGGAGTCAGTAAAAATATCAACCGAAACTGACAAAATCAGGTGTATCCACAATTTTGGCCACCAGTGTAATACCCTTTTATAATCAACTGTCTGTTGGACACCTGTTTAATGAATAATTAGACTCACCTGTAGTTGAATTCTTGTTAATTAGGATTTTGTTGTCCAAAATTTAGCTTTGCTCCTAAGTCTTTCATTGGGGTGTATTCATTTTTGCAACATGATCTTTAATGAATTTGTTAGGAAAAAAAATATTTTTTGTGTGTGCAAATTAACAAATCTTGTTTGTAGTCAATGGCCTGCATTTGTGGGAGTATTTTGTAGTATAGTGTCCCATAGAAAATGTTGATTCTGAAAGGAAAGTAAAGATTTTCTGACAAATCTGTTGGGGTGTGCTCATTTATGTTGGGCACTGTATGTAGTTTATGATGCTTTTTATGCATGTCTGTAATCAAGCTTTACCAGACCAAAAAGAACAGTAAGTATATTGTGTAGATGTCACTTTCAACTTTGAACCATTATTTATTTTATTTATTTATGGTACTTATATATATCAATTTACATAGCACTTTACATATGCTTTAGCCAAATAACCTACCAGCATGCCTTTGGAATGTAGGAGGAAACCAGAGTACCCCCTTGCAGGTACATAGAGGAGAATATGCACACTCCATTCAGGTAGTCCCGTGGTTGGGATTCAAACCGCCAACCCTTGCCCTGCCAGGCAGAAGTGCTAGCCATCTAGCTACTATACAGGTCATATACAGAACAATGCATATAGGGTCCATTGTGTTTTGTGCTGACCAGGGGCGGACTGACAACTCATGGGGCCCCCGGGCAATAGGGGATCATGGGGCACCTGTGTCCTTGCCCAAACTCAAAAAAGCCTATGAAAAAGGTACCAGGGGCATCTCATGGGGCCCCCTACGGACCCCGGGCCCTCGGGCAGTGCCTGAGTTTCCAAATGGTCAGTCCGCCCCTGGTACTGACTGAAGATAAAACATTTACAAAGACCTACTAAGTACTACAAGCAATCTCAAATAGCCCTTGTGGCAAATCATAGACATGACCCTTTTTAAGCTTATTTATCAACCAGTCCAATTTCATTACATTGAACACTAGAACAAGATGGATTCTGATTGGTTGGTATGGCTATCATACCTTGCAGTAGCCCAGTTGACAGTCTTTATGGTCCCATAAAGTGTACAGAACATCCCTGCATTCACACTAGTGCAGTGTTTCTCAACCAATTTTTAGTCAAAGCATCCTTTAAAATTCTATACAATCTTGGGGCACCCCATTAAAAAATAAAAAAAAACTAAACTAATAGTTTTACATAATGCAGCAACATCCACATATGTAAGACATCCAGCGTAAGAGTTGATTTATTCTTCCAAAGCAAACACACCTTTGAACACTGGTACTGACTAGTATTCACTGTTTTTCTTCTCCTCGGTTTCTCTCTCTTACTCCGCTAATGTGACCCCAGTGCTATTGGAGAGGGACAGGGGAGGGACAAACATGGATACTTATCATCCAATGACATCATTGGTTGTTAGGATGCCAGTCACTAGAAGGTTGTAATGGTGCACCATGAAAACCTGTAGCTTTGAGAATATAAAAAGCAGACTTCATTCATCTGCTGGCTTGTATACAATCTTGGGCAATTTTTTAGGAAGTTTGCCAAGGCACCCCTGAAGAGACCTGAAGGCACCTGGGTTGAAAAAGGCTGCACTCTAGATTCACAATAAACTTGAAAAGATAAATATTTTTCTACCTATTGCTTATATGACACTTTCCTAGTATTTCACCCTTAATTGGAGGTTTACCATGAGGCCCTGCACATAAAAATTTTGTAATGCTCAATTCAGGCTCTGTGCATTACCTTAATTAAAATATTTATCTTCAGGAAAGTGAGAAAAATCAGACAGCACTTTCAAGCCCCTGTTACCACAGAGATGAACAGTAACAGCCGCCACAATAAATATGCAGCAGCAAATCCCCTGAGGACTCAACCATGATAAAACAGTATTGAATTAAAATGTTTCTCTGTTATGCACTAGGAAAGAAATTAGTAAAGAGTTTGCATTAATTGAAATCCAGTTCTCTGTGTATATCAATTCGCTTTTATCCCACAGGGAATGACTGCAGTGAGGGAGCCACAAAGCAACAGATTAATCCAAACATTGCCAATGACAAAGACAAATTGAGACTTTAAAGCTTCATGTGAGATAAATTGCTATTAAAAACCTGTTCTATCATATCCAATAATAAGATCAGAAAATCTGTTCAATAGTATTCCTGCAACTGGATGTTCTTCTTCCTAGACAGACAGATGGGTTCAAATTGCATCGGTGATTCCTACAACTCTGCTTTACAGTACAGCATCCCATAATATGAACCAATAAATGGTTAATTCCGTTGAAACCTGACATTACAAGTATGGTTGAAAGCTGATGGATTGAAGCACTCAAGGAGATCCCTGGTCATTCCCCTGCAAAGGTTGACACATTGGGATTTATTTACTAAAGGCAAACTGGCTGTTCACTCTGAAACACTTGCCCCATAGCTTAGTGAATAAGGTAAAGCCTGCTGACTTCCATCATTTAATCAAATGCAAGAAAAAATTTCATTTTTTAAAATTTTACTTGCACGTGATTGGGTATTCTTTGCAAAATGAAATTTGACCACATTCGCTAAGTTCTGGCGCAAAGTGCAACTTCCTTTGCAAAGTGATTAGCCTATTTGCCTTTATTAAATCAACCCAATTGTGGTTCTAATTTTTGCTACAAATTCACAAAAATGTTTAAAAATACAAAACATATTTTGCTATAATAGGCAGCAATGCTTTACAATCCCACAGAATTGCAGTACTGCGTACAAGTATATATTTGAATGGCATTCCATTTCATGAGCAAATTGATGGTTCTTTGAATTGAAATCTGACATTGCAACTATAGTTGGAAGCTGACGAACTGCAGCACCAAAAAGTTGCCTTCTCAACCCTCTTCTGTATCAAAAGGGTGAACACACTATAGCCTGAAACACTAGGAACCCCATTGACAAATTTGTTGGTACCCTTCCACAAAAAAATAATAACCCAGTTTTCTATGAAATAACCTGAAACTTACATAAGTAATTGGCATCCATTACTGTTTATTTCTTATTAAAAAAAAAAAAACAGACTTTGCTTTTGATTTTTTTGCATCAATACATTTTTATTGTTTAAAAAAAACAGACACAGAAATAAAAATAAGGTGACAACGTGTACTAAGGGTACAGATAGTACTATATTACAAAAGTACAAAATTATAAAAGTATGTAAGTATAAACTTAGGTGGAGCGTCCATTAGAAAGTCTTAAAGGAGCCACGTAGGGCTCAATTACCAACTATCAACTATGAAATGGTTAAGCAGCAACTCTGTCTCAATGGATAAAAGTTACTTAATAAGTCATTTCTTTTTTGCTTTTGCTTTTGCTTTTTATTTCAACAGAATAGTTTAAATAATAAAAAAATAAAATGGCAGAAAGACAAAAATGATGAGACCCTTAGGCCATATGCACACCGACACTGTCAAACCAGCATTTATATGCATTTAGTTTTCATATTTTCACCTAAAAATATCAAGCTGATATGACTTGCTCTCCCAGAAGCATTACAGCTTGTTGATATGCATTTTATAGAAGTGAAGTCTGGATTTTTTGTGTTTTTCTTTCAACAGTCAAAATTCTCCTGGGTCTTCCAGTGTTGCTCTAAAAGTGACAGATGGTGCCTTTCCCTTGGAATTCAGCTTGTGTCTCATTGTATGGTTTCCTTAGCACTTTGTCTACAGTTCGTAATATTCTTCTGTTCAGTCTGTGGTTGAGTTTCCACATCCAGCCTCATCCAGTGAGGTGGAGGATGGATCTAAAACTTTCTAATAATATTTATAACTGCAGTCACAGGGACATGAAGCTGTTTGGAGGTTATCTTAAAATCTTTAACATGCTCGTCTATGATTTTCTTTCTGCTCAGAGATTTGTCATCAAATTCTCTGGTCCACTGTCAATGGGGTGAGCACAATGATTCCAAATAGCATAGTGATACTTTTCTCCATTTAAATGGCATGACTGACTGATTAAAGATTGAAGATATGTGTAGTACTAATTACAAAAGCAGTTCAAAATCTCACTACAATCCAAATATATAATAATCTTTGGGGAAACAAAACATCTGCCTAGGCAATTTTAGAATATCTTTGTAAAAGAAGCAATAATGTACCCCTTTTCACACCCTTTTTTTCTTTGTTTCTGCTCTATCCTATGACACCCCAAAGTTTTGGAGGTGTACATGAGACAAACACAGTTCATTTCATCACTTTTCAGGAGAAATAAAGTGTTGTTTCAATGGGTTATAAGGTTACCAACAATTCTGTTCACTGACGCAAATTCTCAAACATTTTTTAAACACAAAACATATTTTGTATTTAAAGCTGAAACGTAGGTATGGATATTTTGCATAGTTACATTGGTTCATTTGAGACCAATGTATGTATGTACATGCCCAAGCCCTGTGGAAAATGGAAGTCATTATAGTAGGCACCTCTACTACCGTGGCATCTGCTAGCTTCCAGGTCTTGTGCTGAGCGGCTGCCCTGCAAAGCGTCCTCTGATTGAATGAGGTGGAGATCTTGACGAGACCAGCTCACCCACCCCACCCTCCTACTTATAGAACACTTTGAATTAATTGAGAAAATGCACATTCTCTGAATGGTGCTCATGCCAAGCAAGAGACCTCCTGTGTTAGCTAAGCAGCAGGGAAGCCACTAGGCACAGGACCTGAAAGCGAGTGGTGGCAACTACAGTGATTTCCAGCTTTCACAGGGATGAAGGTAAGGCTCGTGCATACTTACCTTGGTCCAAGTTGGACCAATATAACTATGCAAAAACATTCATACCTAAACTTCAGTTTTAAAACCAGCTATGCTTTACAATGGCTTTGAATCTTGGGGTTGTTTAAAAGTATATATTTGAATAGATTTTTCTTTTCCTTGTTTTCAAAGTCTTTTGACTTCATAAGCAACAAAATAAGTTCCAACAGTAATTCATAAAACAATAAAAAAAAAAATCTACGACAGAAACAGAACATTCTGTGTATTTCAGAGAAAAGCTGTACTATTGAAATAAAATCTGTGTGTTTGTTGAACAAATGGTAGACTGGTAAAAGAAATGGTACACAGGCTATCACAGTTCTGATCAGAACAATATTCAGTAGATGAAAAGCTCATCATCAGCACCAACACATCTACAGTGTTTTCCTGTAGTAACTCTCACTATATTTTCTTACATTATTAAATGATTTACCTCCGCTGCCACAGTTGCCAAATTACTTTTTACTGCAATACTTACCTTCAGATTCAAATTTTGTTTCTTTTACTAAATGGCCCACATCAGTTAACTCATTTTCTTGGAATCTAGGCTGTCATGAACCAGATCCCTGAAGACATCACTTAGCCTGGGCTCAGAGAAATATTGTGATTTTTGTGCATTTTTTAAAAAGTGCTAGAGGAAGGGGGAGGAGGTACAGAAGGGTGGGGTGTTTTTTGCCCTAGATTTCAGCATTAAATAACTACTCTTTTCTTCACTTGAAATGTGTCTTTGACTTCAGGAGAGTAAATTCCACAGCGCGGCCCCCTTCCTTTATGCATGGCATAGTCCCCTTTCTTCTGGGAGTGTCTATTTATTCTCTGTGCTGGCCCAACTCTTTTTACTTACCTACATAAACATTTTTTTTGTGAACTGTTAGACAGGACAATTTGGTTGGTTTCAGGCTGGTTGGTAAGTTGAGCTGGGAATTTTTATTTGTTGCTATTTGAAATGTGTTGCCCTTCCATGTGCTCCTTGCTGCAAACACCAGTTTTAGATTGGGGAAGATTGCCGTCTGTTATTATGGTTTTGAATATTGGTGAAGTGCGCACTGAATACCTCGACTTCCATTGTTCTAAATGCTGGGTGTCCAGTGCATCCCTGTGCCTTTTAAGTTAGGATTGCCAAAAATAATGGGGGGTGCCATGAAAAGGCTCTGCAGCTTACGCATGTGTTTGCAAATGTGTGCAAACTACACCTCTGTATTTAACGTGAACTGTTAGACAGGACAATTTGGTTGGTTGTAGGCTGGTTGGTAAGTTGATCTGGGAATTTGTCCACTACTGAGAAAGCCCAATCACAGAGTGCAACGTGTCTAGGAGGGAGGAGCCAAGCCTATGACGTTACACCGCTGCCATCTTAGTGTAGAGTTGTGAGCAGGCTGTTGACTGGTTTTTAGTAAGTGAATTATTAAGTGCATTTATTTGAATAAAATGTTTTTAAATGGAGAGCATGATGTCTAGGCCTTTCTGTTCCATGCGACCTATGTTCTATATTTGAGCACATTTGGAAGCGGAGGGAGTGATCACTTTGGATCTGAAGAGGAATGAAGACGATTTGCCATAGGAGCTTTGCCATTTGGAGGATATAGATGAGCATGTTTAAGTATATTTAGGGTGAGCAGGATTTTTTAGCTGGTGTGTGGAGGAAGGAGTGAAATCAGAAGATCACTGATTCCACTAGGGAGCACTAGACTTTATTTTATTTTAATTTTGATTTGTTTTATGATTTTGGTCTTGTACCTTTTATTTCACATATATTGGGGTCTGTTATTTGACCTGTGCATGTATTGAATGGTGTTAGTATATATTGTTATGCTACGCTATTTGTTTGGTATAATACTATTGAAAATACTGCCCATATCTTATCTTACCTTTTTCAAAATTCTTATTAACTGCAAGTAAGGCATAGTCATTTTCACATACATTGATAAATGCTAGTGTTTGGTCAAGTTAATAAAATAGCATTTAGTCATACAACAACAAACATCAGATATTATCTCTCAAGTTTTTTCAGCTGCCAAGTAAAAGTGAAAAAAAAAGTTATACATAATTTTGACTGAGAGAGCAGACAATCATTTTGAAAACTGTCACCATTAAAAAAAGAACTATGGCATTTGACAGTAATCCTAAAATAACTTTTGGAGCTAAAGCTGAAACTGATCACATTTGTACACAAATGTCTAAATTAACAATGTTAAAATAGTTTACAGGAAGCTTCTTCCATCACACGCTGAATCACCTACTCTGAAAATAAATAAAAAATAAATAAATAAAACAGAGAAAGCCAAAATAGCAAAGCCTAATGCAGGCCATAGATGGGTCGAAAATTGGCCGATTTTTCTTTTAAAAAACGAAAAATCGGTCGTTCAAGTGGCCGACGTTACCACCAATGGTAAAAAAAATCGGCCGATTTTCATCCCGTCTACAGCCGGCAAAAAGTGTCCCTGCAGAGGGCTCTGCTATTTCTTTGACAGTTCCTTGACATTTACAGAGGTTGCAACAATGTATCTATTTGTATCCATTTAGGATACAGATGTTTTTATTCGGAAACAAATAGATACAATGTTGCAACCTCTGTAAATGTCAAAGAACTGTCAAAGAAATAGCGGAGCTCTCTGCAGAGACACTTTTTGCCGGACTGGAAGTCCTTTTATTTTTCATCCTTCTTCTTCTCCTTCTTCATCATCATCCTCTTCTTCTTCTTCTTCTTCATCATCATCCTCTTCTTCTTCTACTTCATCATCATCATCCTCTTCTTCTTCTTCTTCATCATCATCCTCTTCTTCTACTTCTTCATCATCATCCTCTTCTTCTTCTTCTCATCATCATCATCATCCTCCTCTTCTTCTTCTTCTTCTTCTTTCTTTTTTTCATCATCATCATCATCCTCTTCTTCTTCTTCTACTTCTTCTTCATCATCATCCTCTTCTTCTTCTTCTACTTCTTCATCATCATCCTCTTCTTCTTCTACTTCTTCATCCTCCTCCTCCTCCTCTTCTTTCTTCTTCTTTTTCATCATCATCATCATCATCATCCTCTTCTTCTTCTTCTTCTTCTACTTCTTCTTCATCATCATCCTCTTCTTCTTCTTCTACTTCTTCATCATCATCATGCTCTTCTTCTTCTTCTTTTTTTCTTCTTCATCATCATCATCCTCTTCTTCTTCTTCTTCGTCATCATCATCCTCTTCTACTTCATCATCATCATCATCATCATCCTCTTCTTCTTCTACTTCTTCGTCATCATCATCATCCTCTTCTTCTTCTTCTACTTCTTCATCATCATCATCCTCCTCCTCTTCTTCTTCATCATCATCATCCTCTTCTTCTTCTTCGTCATCATCATCTCTTCTTCTTACTACTACTTCATCATCATCATCATCCTCTTCTTCTTCTTCTACTTCTTCGTCATCATCATCCTCTTCTTCTTCATCTTCTTCATCATCATCCTCTTCTTCTACTTCTTCATCATCATCCTCTTCTTCTTTTTCTTCATCATCATCATCATCATCATCCTCTTCTTCTTCATCATCATCATCCTCTTCTTCTTTTTCTTCATCATCATCATCCTCTCTTCTTCTTCTTCATCATCATCATCCTCTTCTTCTTCTACTTCTTCATCATCATCATCCTCTTCTTCTACTTCTTCTTCATCATCATCCTCTTCTTCTACTTCTTCTTCATCATCATCCTCTTCTTCTTTTTCTTCATCATCATCCTCTTCTTCTTTTTCTTCATCATCATCATCCTCTTCTTCTTCTTCATCATCATCATCATCCTCTTCTTCTTCTTCATCCTCTTCTTCTTCCTCTTCTTCTTTTTCTTCTTTTTGTCTTCCTCTTGCAGGTCACTGCTCATGCGCAGATTTTTTATCGGTTAAAAAATCGGCCCGATTAGCCCATTATTGCTGCCGATTTTTTTCCAACTTTCCCGATTAAAAAAAACGGACAAAATACCGAAAAACGGCCGAACAAAATAGCCCACTAACGATCCGAAAATCGGCCAATTTTATTTTCGGCCGAAAAATCGGCCGATTTCCGACCCATCTATGGCTTGCATAACACATTAAGGTTGCTTTACTAAAACTGGAAAGTGCAAAATCTGGTGCAGCTGTGTATGGTAGCCAATCAGCTTCTAACTTCAGCTTGTTCAATTAAGCTTTATTAACTGATAGCTGGTTTCTATGCACAGCTGCACTTGATTTCACACTCTCCAGTTTTAGTAAATTAACCCCATTGTTTTACTAGACAGAATTATTTACTGAGCTAAGCCCTGGTTCACACTAATGCGGTACAGCACATCATATGTGATTCACACAGGAACCACACCACATTTCTGGTGCAAATCACATACGATGTCTGTGCGGTGCGATTTGAGCCATACCCTTTTTTCCAGCACCTGATTCGCATCCCATGGGTGTTTGCACTCATGCAATGCGAATTCTGGTAATCGCACTGCATTTTTTTATCTGTTTCGGGGTGTCGTTAATTTAGCATTGACACCCATATCAGATAATATGAATTGCGATTGCATTGCAGTGCAGGAAATGCACAGGGGTGTTTCCCACACCGCATGTTAGTGTGAACCAGGGCTTAGAGACTCTAGGACAGTCTGTAGAGACACTCTAGAAGATTTCAATGATTTATTTACTACACTGTGATTGGTTAAAGAGCACAAATGGAATGTTTTTTTTAATAAAATACTTGTTTTAACTTTTTTCATCTTTTTTTCATCATAAAGTGATATTAAAGACAATTAAAAACAAACAAACAAACAAAAAAAAAAACCCAAACATGTTATATTTACCTACTCTGTGCATTGGTTTTGCATAGAGCAGCCCTCATCCTCCTCTTCTCATGTCCCCCGCCTGCAATCTTGGCCCCTCCCTCCTGCCAAGTACCTCCATAACAAGTAGCTTGCTATGGGGGCACCCGAGCAGGCTCACTCTAGAATTGCAACCCTGTGTGTCCATTCAAACACAGAGCCATTGTTTGCACCCGCCCCCTCTCTCTCTCTCTCCTCATTGGCTGACTGGCTGTGATTGACAGAAGCGAGAGCCAATAACTCACGCTGCTGTCTTAGTGAATGAAGAAGGAGAGTCCACGAAGAGCTGAAGCTCTCATGCACATCTCTGGATTGTGATGGGGATCATGTAAGTATTGGGGGGTTGGTGCACTGCTGCATACAGAAGGTTTTTTTACCTTAACGCATAGAAAGCGTGAGGGTAAGCAACCTTGACCTTTACAACAACTTTAGTTGTGACATCTTTCAGCCTCTTTCAGCCTACAAGTCCTCCCTTCCAGAGTCGGCTGTACAACATTGGTCTGGACTGACTTCTTAATAGTAACAAGTGGATCAAACAACAGTGGATCAGTTTCACAAAATGTGTCAACACCCACCATAGTCTCCAGGTATTCATATTAATGAGACATTTAATGAGCAGCATTTGAAAACTTTTAAAGTTACTTTAGCATGTTAGACATTTTCTTAGTGGCTATATGTTTACTTTAACCACTTGCCCTCCTGAGGATTTACCCCCCTTCCTGACCAGGCCTCTTTTTGCTACTCGGCTCTGCACTAATTCAACTAATAATTGCGCGGTCATGCAATGTTGCACCCAAACAACATTTACGTCCTTTTTTCACACAAATAGAGCTTTCTTTCAATGGTATTTGATCACCTGTGCGCTTTTTATTTTTCATGCTATAAACAAAAAAAGACAGAACATTTTGAAGAGAAATGATATTTTTTACTTTCAGTTATAAAAAATATATAGTAAACACAAAGTTAGTTAGAAATTTAGGCCAAAATGTATTCTGCTACATGTTTTTGGTAAAAAAAATCCCAATAAGTGTATATTGATTGCTTTGTGTGAAAGTTATAGCGTCTACTAACTATGGTATAGATACTGCAATTTACGCCATTTTTTTTGCTATACAGCGCTGCACTAGTTTAACGGACAATTGTGCAGTCATGCAATGCGGTACATAAATGAAATTTATGTCCTTTTTTTCACACAAATAGAGATTTATTTTGGTGGTATTTGATCACCTGTGTGCTTTTTATTTTTGGTGCTAAAATTAGAAAAAAAATTTTGAAATTTTTTTTTTTGAAAAAAACAATATTTTCTCATTTCGGTCATAACAAATATCCAAAAAAACTAAAATATCGTCATAAATTTAGGCCAAAATGTATTCTGCTACATTTTTTTGGTTAATAAAATCCCAGTAAGTGTATATTGATTGGTTTGTGTGAAAGTTATAGCGTCTACAAACTATGGTATAGATAATGGAATTTACACAGCTTTTCCTTTCTGACTGCCCATTTCTTGAGGTGCTAAAATACCAGGATAGTACAAATACCCTCAAATGACTCCTTTTCGGAAAGTAGACACACTAAGCTATTTGCTGAGAGGCATATTGAGTCCATGGAAGATTTATTTTTTTTCCACAAGTTTCTGGAAAATGACAAAAACATTTTTTTTTTTTACACAAAGTTGTCAATTAAATGATTTATTTCTCGCACAAGCCATGGGTATATGTGGAATTACACCCAAAAATACATTCTGCTATTTCTACTGAGTATGGGGATACCACGTGTGTGAGACTTTTTGGGAGCCTAGCCACATACAGGAGCCTGAAATCCAATTACCACTTTGAAAGCCTGAAGGTGCGTAACTTCCTCATGACACTTCCTCACTACCTATCACAGTTT